GAGCCGAAAGCCAGCTCCGCTGGCGGATGGCAGGAGAAGGGCGAGCCCAAGCAGCAACTGCCCCAAAGGCATGGCTCACGAGACGGGAGGGAAAAGCTGTCGAAGGGCTACCCTCTAGAGGTCACAGAGTCCGAGCCTCAACATGCCACCGCAATAGGGGAGGAAATGAGGGTATTTCTGATGCGGGTGCGGGTCCCCCTTCTCGGTTTGGTTTGGGGGTTGGGGGGGGGTTGGGGGGGGGGGGTTGAGGTTGGTGGTGGGTTGGGGGGGGGTTGGGGGGGGGGGTTGTGGGGGGGGGGGGGTTGCGGGGGGGCTAACGCCACTGGCCAACAATGCACCTGAGGCCGCGTCTTGCCGCAGCCCTGAAGGTTGGTTTTGGAATTCAGTAGGGTTTAGGGCTTAGAGTTTAGGGTTTACGGTTTAGAGTTTAGGGTAATTATAGGGTTGAGGGTTTAGAGTTTGGGGTTTAGGGCTTAGGGTTTTTGATTAGGTGTCTGGATTCAGGGTTGAGAAGGTCATGGTCAGCAAACTCCAGAAAAGTCTTGCAAACCCCAGTGCAGCCCTGGAACGGCTTTGCGGTTTAGGGTTTAGGGCTGAGGGTTCTGGACTGTAGCGTCGGGCAAGGTTTCGCTTTATAGGGCTTCGGAGGTTAAGGGTTCGGGGCTCCTGGTGTCGCAAACATCTCAAGCCCAATACTGCTCTGCTGGGCCTCCTGGCCCATGATCTGAGCTGGCGCGCACCACGCGAAGGGTTTATAGTGTCTTGTGGGGCTTATAAGTTTCTGGGGTTTTCAGTGCTTATAGGGTTTATAGGGTTCATAGGGGTTACAGGGTTCTTTATAGGACTTATAGGGTTTATACAGGGTTTACAGGGTTCACAGCGTTTATAGGGTTTACAGCCTTACAGGGTTTAAAGGGATTGGGCTCCTTGGGTGAGGCTTGGGTAGCAGGTGTCAAGGTGCCACATCTCACTCTTGAGCCATGCAGACCGGTGTGCATCTGAGACAACGGTACAGCAAGAAAAAATATTCCTAAATATGATCCTCTGGAAACCCAATAAACCCTAAACCCTAAACCCTAAACCCTAAACCCTAAACCCTAAATTAGGGAAAATGTGAAATATAGCAATGGCCTACCTAGACCCAAACGCCCAAGTCAGTCGAGGCAGGGGTCAGGCACAACTCCGATTTTAACAACAACTTGGAAAGTCGCAGTCCGCGAATCTTAACTTCCTCACTAGCTCGAGCTTAATTACGTCTAAACCCCAAACCCCAAACCCTAAACCCGAATTAAACCCTAAACCCTACACCCTAAACCCTAAACCCTAAACCCTAAACCCTAAACCCTAAACCGTGAGACGAGGCATTCCTGAAAGCACCGAAGTGAGCCATATAAGCATTGAACACACAAAAGCCGCAAGGCATCCCAAAAGCCCGAATCTACCGCTCCCACTGGACTTCTACGAGACGAAGATACCTGAGCCTTGCCCCCTAAAGCCCTAAAGCCCTAAAGCCCTCAAGCCCTAAAGCCCTAAAGCCCTAAAGCCCTAAACCCTAAACCCTAAGCCCCAAACCCAACACCCCAAACCCTACACCCGAAAACCCTTAAACCTGGCTAATGTTACTGGAGGTGCAGCTTCTTATAGTGCCATCCCAAATGGCTCTAAACAGGAGAAAACCTTATCAAGGGCTCAATTCCAGAAGTCAGATTGAGAATAGACCCGCTCTGCAAGAAAAGGAACCCATGCCTACTACGTTGAGGGTACAGGGGTTTGTCAGAAATCACAGTATCCCCATAATCGAGATCTAAGGCCCTCAGGGCCCTAAAGAAAGCCGCAGAACATGCCTGCAGTTTGGGTTTAGGGTTGAGGGTTTAGGGTTTAGGGTTGGGGGTTTAGGGTTTAGGGTTTAGGGCTTAGGGTTTAGGGTGTAGGGTTTAGGGTTCAGGGTTTAGGGTAGCCGCAGACACCGCTAGCAGCCTAAACCGGTTAAGCCTCCGGTCACTGTGCAAGCCTTGCTTTTTTCAACTTCGGTGGAGGATAAGCTGTCTGTCAGGAGAGGCCCGACACGACGACATAGGTAACAGGTAATCCAAGAGCCACAATGTCCATATCCGAATGGCCTTTTTGGGTTTATGGTTTAGGGTTTAGGGTGAGGGTTAAGGGTATAGCTACCATTGTTAATACACAGTGCTTACAAAGGGGAGATGTTGGAAACATGTGATCCGACCCATACTAGACAGGTTTCGGCCCCCCACTAAGCGCGTCGAAACTGCTTTGCAGTTCACATATTACCAGGATCTGCTTCAGAAGCCCAGCATAGAGACAAATCCATGTTAAAGCAGCAGTTACAACTACAGTAATGGATATGAAACAGGGTTTATATTACTGTTATTGGTGAGTGTATATACCTGGTGTCCTTTGGGGGGGTACAGGAAATACCCTACCTCATACAGGGTTTCGGGTTGAGGGTGTATGTTTATTGCATGCGCTAGGGTTCCTGAAGCTCCTCATGGCAGATTCTGCATGACTCACATCCGATGGAACCCTTTGTCCTGTGGGGTGAAACTTCGAACCTCGTAGAAACCCGCGCCTGCAACAAGGACAAGCGTGCCATCGAACAGGCCCTAAGGTTGAGGTGGTTTAGGGTTTAGAGTTGGGGGTTTCGGGTTCAGGGTATGGGCTTCAGGGTCCAGTGTCTACGGGTTCAGGGTCTAGGGTACAGGTTCCGGGTCGAGGGTTTCGGGTTCAGGGACTAAATTGAGTTTAGGGTTTGAGGCCTTCGGGGGTGTAGAGTTTAAGGTCTAGCTCGGTTAGGACTTAGCGGTTTAGGTCTTAGGGGCTTTCGCTGTCGAGGCCTATGGAGCGCATGTAGCAAACGAGCAAATTGCAAATGCCCAGCCATACAAAACCTATAGCCGCGGGACCCACAAAAACACCCCAATCAACTTTAATTGAAGCAACGATGTTGCCATATTAAAACGAAGCTGCCCTTGTAATATGTGGGCCTCTTCAGTTAAGATTGGTCTTCTGGGGGGTGGTCCGTATCACAGTTCTAGAAGGCTTAGGAGAGAAACAGACCGGCAGTTCTGAACCCTGAACCCTAAACCCTAAACCCTAAACCCTAAACCCTAAACCCTAAACCCTAATCCTGAAAGCTAAATTAGAGGGTTCTTAAGGGAGGGGGGTTCAAGGGGGGTATGGAACTCAGGGTTCCCTAATGCACTACTCCCTCAGGCTCCCTAAGCTTCCTGAGGTTCCCTAGGTACCTACCCCTCATGAGCCCCCCTCCCTTAAGAACCCTAAACCCTAAACCCTAAACCCTAAGCCCTAAGCCCTAAACCCTAAACCCTAAACCCTAAACCTAAACCCTAAACCCTAAACCCTAACCCTAAACCCTAAACCCTAAACCCTAAACCCGAAACCCTAAGCCCTTAACCCTAAACCCTAAACCCCAAAAAGAACGCCGCAGGGTCGTCTCTTTTTGGGGGGTCTTGCCGCAGTCGGCCAGGTCAGCTGGTGCCCTGACCTGGCCCGAAACTTCGGCTTCTTAAGGATTAGGGTTTAGGGTTTAGGGCTTAGGGTTTAGGGTTTAGGGTTTAGGGTTCCAGTTTTCGGGGGTGTAGGGTTTCAAGGGCTTAGTTGTTCGGGCATATCATCTTCTGCTGGGCAAACAGCATAAACAGCATCCGCTGCGGGGCACAAATCGCAAAAAAAATGAAAACTATTGCGCTAGCAGGGAAGGCTCGTGGCTTCTGTTGAGACCGAGGCCCTGGATCCTAAACCCTACACCCCTAAACCCCACACCCCTACACCCTAAACCCCTAAACCCTGAACACTAAACCCCTCAACCCGAAACCCAAACCCGAAGCCCGTGTAAGGTTTGGGAAATTTCGGGTTCTTTGGTTCGGGATCCGCGCGTTTCTGCGATTGGGATTTGGAGGGGTTCGGGGCTGTGGGTTTGGCAGAACCCTGAACCCGCAACCCTCTAAATCCTAAACACTAAGGCCCTAAACCCTGAACCCCAAACCCGCCCTAGACCCTAAACCCTAAACACACAAGGTTTTGCCGTCCTAAAAACGGCTCAAGGTTTGGGGTGTTCGAGTCAGGGTTCCGAAGTTCTGAGATCAGCTTCTGGGATTTTCCGGATTTAGGGTTTAGGGTTTAGGGGAGCTTTTGGGGGTTCCGAGTTTCGGGTATTGGGTTTTGGGGCAAAGGTTCCGGGGGTTTGGGGTTTAGGGTTTGGGGTTTAGGGCCAGATCCTCCCACCCAGCCCCAAGCAAAACCCCTTACCTGCGACGCTATTTCTACCTACACCTTTACGGGTTGTACCTACAAATTAAGGATTCTTCCTACTAAGCTGAATGTGAAAAAAAGAAACGGGGCCCAGGGTGGAAGAACGGTGCAAAACCTCAACGGCGCAAGCCCTAAACCCCTAAACTGTAAACTGTAAACCCCAAACCCCAAATCCCAAACCCCAAACCCCAAACCCTAAACCACAAACCCCAAACCCTAAACCCTAAACCTTCAAGCCCCGACACACCCGAAGCCTCCTAGCCAGTATCCCACCTAGTCGATGATGTCGGCGAAAGATAGCTGCTGAACCGATTCCTGGCTCAAGCACTACTATTTACTTGAGAACACCAAAAGAATGAAACATGCTAATCCCTATGTTCCTCTTATAAGGAAGAATATAGATAGATAGATAGATATATATATATATGTATACAAATTTTTTTGTGGGGGGGGGGTTGTGAAATCATTCCTGGCTCAAAGAACCGCTGGGTTTTGTGTTGGAGGTTTTGGGATATTACTGTTTTTTTCATATACTCGTCGTATTTTGGCTGGGAGATTGTAACTACAACTAGAAATAGATAAATATGGGCATATACGTATAGCTTTTCTTTTTGTTGTTTTGTTCTACTTCTTTTTTTTTGTGTTTTTTTTGCGGGGGGTCATTTTCATGTGCCCCACTTTCATGGGGGGAGAGAGCAGCAAGAGTC